GTCTGTCTGTCTGTCTGTCTGTCTGTCTGTCTGTCTGTCTGTCTGTCTGTCTGTCTCTCTCTCTCTCTCTCTCTCTCTTCTCTCTTCTCTCTCGCGTTCGCTTTTGCTTTCGCTGTCCTATCGTCGTGTTGTTTTATCCGTCGTGTCCGTCTGTCTGCCAGTTTATCTGTCCCTATGTGCGTGCGTATGTGCGTGTGCGTGTGTGTGTGCGCGTGCGCGCGCGCGCGTGCGTGTGTGTGTGTGTGTGCGTACGTACGAGTGTGTGTACCGCGTCATATACGACCTGGCATGTGAAATTTCGCCATGAGGGATTAATCCACAGCCTCGGCATCGGCATCGTACGTGGGTCGGCGGAAGAACTTACTACTTTCCGCCGTAACTCGCCAATCCGCTATAGTGGCGGTAAACTCCATCCACAAAGAAGGTACTAGCTTGTTGCTAATACCGGCTTCCTATTAGGCTACCAAAAAAGCTAGCGTCAAAATCGTCATTTGACAACGAACACTACACCTACACATACACCCGCGCGCACACGCACACACGCATACACGCACACACACAACATTTGCATTGATCCCCATTGACTGCATTGTCTTCCAGTGCCAATTGCCATCATCTCTCTCTCTCTTTCTCTCCCTCTCTCTCTCTATCTATCTCTCTCGCTCTCTCTCTCTCTCTCTCTTTCTCTTTTTTTTTCTCCTTCCATCTCTCTCTCTCTCCTCTCTTTCTCGCTTGCTGTCTCTTTCTCTCTCGCGCACTTTCTCGCTTGCTGTCTCTTTCTCTCTCGCGCACTTTCTCTCCGTGTCTCTCTGTATGTCTATCGCTGTGTCCCTCTACGACGGTTGGTCAGTACATGTCTTATTAACTGCTGTTTTCGCTATGTGTGTGTACATAGATCGGGACGGGCCTCATCAACCGGGTGGCTAACGTGGACATGTTCTGGCACAAGGAGGTTCCGTCTACGCCGCGCGTGTCCGCTGAGTTTGACCTAACACTGGACATGAAGACTCTAGTCACGATGATCAGTCAACTCGACTTCCTACAGATGAAACGTAAGTGTATAGCATATGTCGTATATATCGTATACCAATATGTGTGTGTGTGCGTGCGTACGTGCGTGCGTACGTGCGTGCGTGTGTATGTATGGTGTTGCAGTATAGCTGTTTGTATTGTTTGCTGGTGTTATTTCGATTGATGAGATCGAATCGATCGATTGAAATTTCCCGTTTTCTTTATTTCACGATGTGCTAAGCGTGTGCGCGCATGCGTGTGTGAGTGAGCGAGTGCGTGCGTGTGTGCATATGTGCGCGTGTGTGCGTGTGTTTTTGCGTATGTGGCTATTTGCGTGCGTGCGTGCGTGTGTGTGTTTGTGTGTGTGTGCGTGCGTGTGTGTGCGCGCGCTCGCGTGTGTATGCGTGTGTGCGCGTGTGTGTGTGTCTGCGTGCGCGTTCGTGTGTGTCTGCGTGCGCGCGCGCGTGTGTATATGTCTGCGTGTGTGTGCGTGCGTGTGTGTGTCTGCGTGCCCGCGCGTGTGTGTGTGTGAGCGTGTGCGTATGTGTCTGCGTGTGTGCGAAGGTGATGTAGTTGTGTTTGCGCAGCGGCACGCATGGCCGGTGTGTCATCGTCATACCGACTAACCAACCACGCGACACCAGCTTCATCACCAGACGCAATGCTGTGTGAAGCTCTGCGGAAGCTGATGATGATGATGATGATGATGATGGTGATGATGATGATGATGATGATGATGATGATGATGGTGATGATGATGATGATGATGATGATGGTGATGATGATGATGATGATGATGATGATGATTATGATGATGATGATGATGATGATGATGATGATGATGATAATGATGGCGATGATGATGATGATGATGATGATGATAATGATGGCGATGATGATGATGACACTCGCCGCGCTCATGGACGAAGGTGCGAGTGAAACTCCACGGGAGATGTGATGAATTCACCGGACACGCTGTTATTTTCCGCGCGCCGTCTTACAGCCGCTGGGATGGGTGAGCGTGTGTATGCGAAGAGCCCGTGTGTGTGTGTATGGGAAGAGTATGTGTGTGGTGTGTACACAATTATGTCACCGAAAGTCGATGCATAGAAAAAAGGACCTATTCATCGTATGAGTCATCACCGATAAGATTAGGACGAGCGGGGAAGGGGGGGGGAGTAGTGGCTGGGACTAGCCACTATGGCTGGACCTGGCCTAACCCTTGGCGTTCAGAGGCGAAACGGATATTTTGCGTGAAAAAAAAGTTACGGGGGTTGAGTGTCTGTAAGTGTTCACATGCCGGGTTAATTAATGGATTCTTGATAAGTGCCTGAGAGGTGGATACGTGGGAGTCTGTATCACCATGGCAACGCCAGCGTCATTTGCTGTGGAACTGCAAAGCCTGTCCCGCTGCAGTGATAAGATGCGACTATCTACATGTTACCATAGTAACACCATCACCCAGCCCTACCACAAACACCATGACAACGCTGACACTGCAGCGATGGATGGCTAGTAAAGCCAGTCCGTGTTACGGGGGCCACGCAGCCCCTCGCGCTGCAGTTACCATGGCAATGCTGACCCAAGCGCTTCAGTCGTCATGGCAACACGGCCCTTTCCTGCTGCAGCAGTTTATGGCTTCAATAGCGAGAGTGACTCTGCTTCCCTATGTGTGCCGATCCCACTGACCGTCGTTAAGTGCATAGTTATTTTTTAATGATGGGCTGTTGATGCATTGACCTCCGACGCTGCTGCTACTGTGTATGTGAGATAGAGATAGAAAAGGGGAGAGAGAGAGAGAGCGGGTGAGGGAGAGAGTGGGGTGAAGTAAAGCATGAGAACTCGCGGTGACGCCGACATCTGCTGTTGACTACAGCTTCAGCAATGAATGATTCACTGACGCCTATACTCATTGATGTTTTAATGTGTATCGCCATAGCTGCTCGCTGCTACTGTTGCTGCTGATGATGCTGATGATGCTGCTGCTGCTGGTTGTGATGGTAGTGGTGGTGGTGCTGCTGCTGCTAGTTGTGGTGGTGGTGCTTTTTTGGCGGTGCTGCTCGCTGCTGCTGTTGTTGTTGCTGATGACACTGCTGCTGCTAGTTGTGGTGGTGGTGGTGATGGTGGTGCTGACGCTGTTGTTGATGCTGATGATGATACTGCTGCTGCTAGTGGTGGTGGTGGTGGTATTGTTGCTGCTGCTGCTGCTGATGCTGCTGCAGCAGCTGGCGGTGGCCGGGGCGATGGTGGTGACGGTGGTGATGGTTGTCGTCATCGTCGCTGTCGTCGCCGCCTTTGTCGTCCTCATTATCATAGTCAAGATCGATAGAATCTTCATAACTGACATCATCGGCAGTGCCAGCATCATCGTTATTACTCACATAATAGTCATCATCTTCGTCATCATCGCTGTTGTTTGGCAGTGTCTTCGGGAAGAAAGAGGTATTTTGTCCGATATACATATATATATATATATATATAATATAATATATATATATATTATATATATAAAATAGTGAACACATGGCGCATAACGCAGTGTTTATACTGTGCTGACGTTAAAGTGTAAACGGCAAGCCCATGTTTCATAATGGTAGTTTATGAGGTGGCGATGACGATGATGGCTGACGATACTGACGTCATCGCGTTCGGTACTACACATAATGAGGCTGGGAAAGCAGGTGGCATGTTTTGGCGCAGACGAATTTTTTTATACACGTTTTTCACCGCATTCTTGCGGTTTGGAGCCTTCGTGCTTCTCCTCCGATCTTTTTGATGGTCGGCAAAAATTGAGCAAACGCTAGTTTTTATTGCCGAAAAACCTCGCAAGAATTATCTGTTCGATACGAGCAAGATTATTATAAGCACTGCTTAGCTCCTGTCCTTCAACCTTACATGTTGGCATCCTGACATATCTGTTTGAGTGCAGTCAAGAGTAGATAATAACACATGTGTTATTATCTACTCTTGGTGCAGTGATAATGAACACCGGCGCCTGCTAAAGCGAGAGGGAGAAAGAGAGAGATGATTAGAGAGAGACAGTAGATAAGGAGAGAAGGAAAAACAGCGAACGAGAAAGGGAGAGTGAGAGAACAGAGAGGGCAACCGACAGAGAGGAGAAAGAGAACAAACGAGCAAGGGAGAAGGGGACAACGAGAGAGAGACAGGAAGGAGGGAGAGAGGGGGACAGACTGGCTGGAGAAAGAGAGAGAGGGGGAGACTAAGAAGAGACGAGGAAGCGAGAGAGAGAGAGAAGGGGGAGAGCGACAGAGAGAGCGACAGATAGCTTTTGTGCGAGAGAGTGAGAGAGCGAGGGAGCGAGATATAGTATAGAGATGTGTATGTGGTATAGAGCTCAACCTTAATATAAAATATCGCATTTTTTGTCGCTACAAGAGGATTGCGACTAGAACTTGTCAGAACTAGAACTAGAACTTGCGACTTGTCAGTCTGCCGGCGATTTACGCTCCCATAACGTATTTATGATCCTACTAGGAAAGGTCACTACTATAACCATTTCCCATTACAATGGCAGTTGTTATGAGTGTATGCATAAACATTCATTAGTCTGGTTAAAGACATTGGGCGCATAATCATCTCCCTGTTGTTGTTCTCAATCTGTGATCTTTGTTACGTAGTCTTCGCAGTAATTGCCGTGCATGACGCACGAAGCACGGGCTGTATACACATCGAGCACGTGATCGTCACGGCGCGCCAGCCTATTTACAAACACGGCTCTTCGCGTTGCTAATAACCACCACTCAGCTTCCTTCCGGCAGCAGCATCCTCATCTTCATCCTCATCCTCATCGCTGCGCATCCGCGCGCGGGGGTGAGTGATGCATAGTTCACACGGCCGCTTCTATTTCTGCCGCGCGCGCGCTCGCGCGGGTATGAGGAACCAGATGCAACGGATTATTGCAGAGACTCGCTCGCAGCATCCGGATGCGGCCAGCTTCAGCGACTCGCATCTTCCCGATCCCTGATGCAGATCCCCGGGGCGGCGGCGGCAGAAAAAAAACTCACTCGCTCCCAATATTAATTAGGGCACCTAATTTAGGAACTGGAAAAATAAACAGGGAGTGACCTCGGTCGTTGAATCCCTAGATGTAAAATGGGAAGCCCTTCCTGGTTAATTGGATGGAACGTGGATGAGGATTGCAGAGGAGGCTGCGGGAAGTGGGGTCGTGCGCTCTCCTGCCGCGGCGGGTGGGTGGTTTGTGGTGTGTGATGGGGGAGGGGGGAGGAGAATTATTGTCGATGTTGATTGCTCGTTAAAAATCGTCGCTTACTCGGTGTAAAAATTGCACACCTATAGCAAACACAGGCAAATACGCGCGCATCACTACCGCGTCTATATGTCGGCATGGCAACGCGTCACGCGTGCATGGCAACCGCCTCCGGGCGTCGTCACGGCAACCTGTCACGCGTGCATGGCAACCATTCCTGCTCGCGCAACAGAGAGCGCGTCTGAGATGACATAAATAAGAGTGAAAGTGTACAAGGTGGAGAGTGAGCGAGAGGAATAAGGAGAGCGAGATAGAGAGATATACATATATATATAGAGAGAGAGAGGGTGAGACAGACAAAGCGAGGTCAATGAAAGCAAGAGCGAGAAAGAGGGAAGCGCGCAAGAGGAAGACCTAGGTAGACAGCGGGATAAAAACCGAGTAAGAAAACAAAAAAGATGGAGGGAGAGGACGAGAAAGAAAGGGAAAGAGAGAAAGAAAGAGAGAGAGAGAGAGTGGGAGAGAGATCGTTTTAACAGATTCTAATCGCATCTTGTTCAACTATAGACAATCGCATTTTGCAGTCTGCACGTAAAAACGCGCTCTGCTCTTTTACATTATCAAGTGCTCCGCCCTCCCCCAATTAAACCCTTCCCCAATTAAACCCTCCCCCAATTAAACCCTCCCCCAATTAAACCCTCCCCCATTCCCAACCATGAAGCCGTGCTTGAGATCAAGTGACGTCATCGCATGACGCGGCTTGCGAGATCTGTCGAAAGAATTTTCTGCTTTACTTGAAAAATGTATGAAGTA